TTAATATTATTAACATTGTTTTATTTGTTCCACTTACTATTTTTTTATTTAAACATGGCTTTTAAATGACTTAAATGTCATCATTACTATTTACCTCATGATTTGGTTAAAATGTCTACAATCCAAAAAGACAAAATTATAAAAAAGCATTTAGAGCAATTTATAGGTATTATTATTAAGTGTCTACATTTTCTTCAATGTTACATTGTACAACAACCTTGAGTGATTATTGAGTGATTAAGAGCATTTTTTCACTTGCTGCCTTTACAAAACCTCCTTCTGCTTTTCTTGTTGCCAGGCAACCACTCAGGGGTGGTGTTGAGCATAAATTCAAGGGAGCTGCACAGTTACTTGACCAGCTGATGACCAATGTAAAGGTGCCAGAGATGAGCACAATAGACTATGCCTTCCTCCTCTCTCCAGATCTGACCCTTCAGACACCCTTACAGGAGAGAGATCAGAGACACACCTGCACCAAACCTTCTCCTCCTCTCTCTGTCTTCTGTTCCCCCAATCCAGGAGGTGGATTTTGTACCCATCTGCTGCACCCTGGCTTCACTGATGATCGCATACTCTCACGTACATGTTCTTGTCTGTTGATCTTTGCACCCTGCAGTCTGTCTCATCCCTGTCCACCTTCTCTCTCATTTCTTCTCATTATTGCTCTTATCACAGGAGCATCAAATCAGCCCCACTTACTAATTCCCAGGGAGAAACTCATTGACAAATGCTTTGTTTTCCATCTTGTGTTTGTTTTGTGCCTCTCCTGTGTTTTGTCTTTCAGTCTGAATAGTGTTTTGACTCTCTTATGCCGAGTTCACACTGCACGAGTTTAGCCCGATTTTTCACTCGCCGACAGGTTTTGCGAAATCGCAGAGAAATGCCCGAAATCGGAGGCAAATCTGCGCTCGTTCACACGAGTGACAGTCACACAGTGTGAATTATCAAAGACGCGATCTGAGGGAATCGCCGATGCATCGCCGACGCCCGTGAAATATTTGGCATGCTAAATATCTGGAGCTGTCGGCGATGACCTACAGCCAATGAGAGACCAAGATACAGGGCAGCGGGAAGTTCGGGGAGGAGTTGTATGAAACGTAGTTTGCGGACTAATGTTGCCAAATCCGCGATTGCCGCCGGTTGTTTTTTATGTCAGCAGGTTGAAGCGACCCCAATAACGTGATATTTAGGCCCTGGAATGTGAATTGTACTAGGAGAACCCCGCCAAAAAAAATAGGGGTAAAAAAGTATTTTACCCCCCCGAACGCGATTTTTACTGGGGGGACCCCCTCGAAAGCAATTGAGCTATTTTCAGGCTAGTTTTGAAAATCGTCAAAGGGAAAACATTTAAAATATCCTGTCACCCTCTTTTTGTTTTGTATTGTAAATGTCTTTAAAATAAATTTTAGTTGAACCCATCAATTTTCATATGCGATAACACATGACATCTCTTGCTTCAATCAGTAACTAAATCTATTCTTTTGCCCTGTTTCATGATTATGCTATGCAGTAAAGTCAAGTAATTTTTGTCTACGTCTGATGCTGCAATATCTCAGTGATGTTTTTCTTTTCCTGTTCCACATCAATATCTATGGTGCAATTAATAATGGTGGTGATGATGTCAAATGTATTAGCATTGATCACACTGACCCAAGAAATGCAAACAAGCGTGTTTATAGCAAGCAAATAATGTCGAAAAGGCAGTAGCAAAATATGATATACCTTTCTTGCTACTGCCAAATCAGCACAGCTGGAACCTTCTTGGTGTTCCTGGAAAACATGCACCAATTATCAGGATCGTCGCTTAAATTTACAAGGCCCGGGACGTCGTTTTGTGGGTGTCCTCACGATAGGGACTGGGGCATTGACTCTTTGCCCCTTGAGCCTTATTCCTGTCTGTTTTCTTCAAGAACTACATTGCCAAATTCTCATCTTTCAGATTATAGTCCATCTTCTAAAGTATCTTCACTGCATAATGAAACGATATCCCCTAGCGAATCAAATCCCATCATTCATCATGTCGAAATCCTTTGTGAAAGCTAGCTAAATTCATATGCTCGTTTATTTATTTTACTTTAGATTTCCTCACAAGCATCAGCCATTAGATCTTGATAGGGAGTCGACACAGGATGATCCCCAGCATAGCAAGTGCTACCTGTCAGGTGTAGTGTGTGTATAAGCCTATATTAGGCTTAGAAGGACACAGTTGCATTCCCTTTCGTTTGGCTTGTATTGTATATATAACAATGTGTAAATAGAACCTTCTGTATATAGACCCTCCTAAATATGACACTTTCAATAGACCAAAATGTGCACTGTTTTCTCCCAAATGCCTCGCACTGGGTTTTCTTGAATTCAGGAGTTCTACACGGACATGATTTGATCACTTCTGCATCTTTGTCTTCATCCAGCATTATTTACTGAAGGATATTCTTAATATTTCACACTATGTATAACATTCACACTTGTACGACTAAAGACCTGTGTGAGAAGTGGTGCGCTGTCTTTGTGTGCATTCTGATATATACTGTATATTTTTTGGACATTTTAAGGGTTCAGCTGTTTGAATCGAGGCTGTAGGAATTACTAGTGATTTATGGATGAGGCTCTCTCACTTGCACTAATCACAGTTCATGGCTTGTACAGTGTTGTTCAGGTGGGTTCAGGGAACACTTCATTTTCAACTGAGAAAGACACTGTGCATGTTACGTCATACTACATGAGAGAGAATCAGTTCAGGAAGGTGGGCAACCATATGTGCTCTTTTTCCCAGACATGTTCTGGCCCGGGATTTCTCAATTAATAAAATGCCTGGTTCTTTGTTTTCCTATTGTTGTCATACTTGCTGAAGGTAATGACTGAAAAGTAGTGGTCCAGGCATTGGACGTAATCGACCAGTTGTGGCGTGCAGGAAAGTGGGATCTACAGAGAAGTCAAAGCAATGCAAATATGCATACATATGATGCATGAGGCCTGTAGAGAGCATGTCAAATGGAAAATAAAGCCAAAAGTTTAGAAATCCCAACCAGAAAATGCCCAAAAGAAAAAAAATAAATAGGATGTACCGTCACCCTATGGGAGGAAAGTCTTGACCAAACTGATAGTTTGCAGGTTCACTGTCTCTTTAACACATTCTGTTGTGGAGCAGACTGTGTCTTTCCAAGTTTGATTCAAACATTCACTCTGTTTTATGACCGACTTGAGTCAATAGATTCTCTTAGCATAAACCAAAAAGATTTACGTTTTTCAGTTTATGCTTATGTATATCAATAACACAAACCTGTTCATTTCTAACAGTATGGACTTATTGCACCAGAAGCTGAACTGGTTTTTTAAACCTGTATATGCACAGTTATATAGTAGTGTGACATTTGTATTTGTATTTCCATCCATGAAGTGATAATGCAGAAATACATGAGTGTTACTGATGAGACATCTCCCACTAAGAGATGTTTCTGCGCAAGTTTACTTTTGTGACGGCACACCCCTGCAACAAGGACACTTATATACACACCTGGATCCTTTTTGAAATTCAGACTCAAATGTGGTGGAGAGACACAGTTGAACTGATTCTATATTATTATTATAATTATTATTTTTTGTTGTTTCTTTATAATGTCAATGTTTTTGACTCCACTGCAACAAGTGAAAAGCACTTAATCAGCGCGTCTGAATTCAAATACACTAACCGTAAAGGTTTGTTTTGTTAGTTTGAGCTGTTCAATAAAGTTTTAACATTATTCATGAAGCTGATACCTGTTTTCTTTTTAGTCTATAAAACAAAACGTACATAAAAACTTTGATGGCTGATGCTTCCTCTTCACGACCTCTTCTCTCTTCACGATCTCAATAAAACTAATTTATATGTCTGGTGTGATGTGAGAATCAGGACTGAACCGAAATTTGATTTGATGACATTTAGCAATTCAATTCCCAGAGTGAAGAACAAAGTACAAAACGGTTCAATAAAATACAGGTTGGTTATTTTTATTTTTAAGAACGAAATGTGAAGCATGTTAAATTCATCCAAACATGTAATAATGAGAGTATCTTAACAGCTTTAAATATTGTCAATACAGGTGCTCAGTACTGTAATATGTAAGGCACTTTTTAAGACTTGCAACCCTGAGGTCAGATTATTCGACTGAATTAAAGTGTACGTTTTCTGCAAGTGCAGGGACCTTTCCATTTTCAGTCATTCATTTTCTTCTGCGGTACATGCAAATACACTATACTTAAACTTCATAGTGCACATATTTGAACATTAGTGAGGTTCATGACATCAAGAGAAAGGATGAATGTCCCCTCTCTCAAGACAATTGTACAAGCTTACTGCATAATTCCACTGGATTCTCAGTCACGACTATATAAATGCTTGGAAATTAAAAACAAAAACTACTCTTAGGTAAAGAAAATTATTTGATTGAATAATGACTCATGGAAACATTTTTGAAATGTTCGTTTTGATGCATAAGTAGATGCGTTGGATGCTGACATTTTTTTCAGTGCATAGATTTAAAGCTACATCAGTCTTTTGGCTTATAACAGTCTTGAAGACTTTCCACTCAAGCCTCAGGTCCCTGCTCTTGACCATTACTTCTACTTAAATTAGCATAGCAATGTAACATTAAAATAATACTAACTAACTAGGCTACATATTAATCACATCCAACTTACAAACAAACAAAATCAAATCTTAAAGCAGTATACTGAATTGTGTTAATCTTACAGAACAAATGTGCAACGTACGCACAAAATACAATGTCTCTTGGTTGGTAGGAAAGGTGAAGGGAAAACACTGCTGCACACATAAATTATCCTGGATCACAAATCTACAACAACTGCAACATTCAGTATTTAAAGTAATAACAGTAATAATGTAACACTGCAAAACGACTGCTCATGTAAGTGGTTACATGACGTAGACGAAACCAGGCAAGAAAAGGCACTTTCAGTAACAGGTCTTAACAGTGTAGTATAGCTTTAAGAGTAAGACAAGACAAATACACAAGTATTTGTGTAAGTGCATTGTAATCATCCCTTATGCTAATTTTCATTGGCAGCTTCAGATCAGCTTTGGCTTTACTTTTGTCCTCCTGGGATCATTTGATCAGATGGGTAAAATACATTTTTTAATGAACAGACTAAAAAATGCGTAAAAATGTTCTCATGTGGCATTGTTTGTATTAAAAATCTATTTTAATCACAATGTTTTATGATTTAGATTATATAGAATTTTCAGTGTTCTGTTGCTTGAGGTTCTGATATGCCACCAACATCACAGTTTTACTAAAATACAGTTGAGAGAATTTAAAGCTTTTCTGTGAAATAATTACACAATATTAGGATGCTGACTGAACTGATACAGTAGCCATCCATTAGAAGGAGTTCGCTTTCAAGTGGATTCCAGTCGGTGCCTTCATTTGCTTTATGATTTACTCATGTAAAATGCACCATTGAAACATTTGCTGCACAACAGACATTACATATTTCAGTTAAAAGCATCAGAAAACTGAACTGAAAGCTAAAAACAGGTGGACGATATATGTCAGCTCACACTCAAAGTGTATGTCTGTCAGTGTTGCCATGAATTGATCTACTTTCATACTGCTGCCGTGGACTGTTGCTTTTTTTAGTCCGCGAAATCCCACACCCCCCCGGAACGTGATTACGACCAAGGTGGGACTCCCTGGAAGCAGGGATTTTACCACCTAAAACGCAACTAGGTTAGTTTTGGCTGTGACTAGGCTAGTTTTGTTATACAGACCTGGCAACCCTGATGTCTGTCAAAAGCTTTCATAATGTCATAAACTGCCATGAGATAACACTACTCTCTCTCCCTCTCTTAATCGTACCTCCTTTTTTCTCTCTGCTCTTCCCTTTAGTGACAGTTCTGGCATTTTGGATGGCATCTCTGTTTGTTGACATTGCAGCGGCAGCCTCCACTTGCATCTCCAGGACCCTAAATTGAGAAAGACAGATGAAGTTCTGTTTCCAACTAATAAATATTAACAATTAACAATGGTTTTGAAAAACGAATTTTTAGGAATCTGTAGGTTGTTGTATTTCTGGCTTTGTACAACTGTTGTATAACATTAAAAACTATGACCTTTCCTTGCACGTTTTCATAAAGAGATGATACCCAATGGAGCAAGAGAGAAAAGCTTATATCCCAGTCTTGTGAAAATGCTCTTACTTTGGGCCCCCAGCGTGGTCCTCTGGTGACCCAGCAGATCTCAGTGTGGCAGACAGTACAGCGAAGCCAGTCACAGCCCTCCTTCTTCTGCACAATGATGCCGCACTGAGGGCAATGCATCGCCTCTCCAGAATTAACAAGAGTCTGTGTGAGTGATGGGACAGAAAGTTTAAAGTAAATAATAATAATAAAAAGAAAGAAAGAAAGAAAGAGAAATTGATCAAAAGTGACAGTAACATTCTGTTCATGTATGAGTGACAGAGGGGGAAAAAACAATAAAAAGAGAGATGAACATTTATAACTTAAACTTTCAACTGCAATTATACAGTGGGTTTAAAAATATGTGATCTTCTAAACACCAAAAATGTGTCTGAATATTAGAATGACAACAGTAAGGAACAGGATGTTGTCACATGACAAAGGGCCTTTCCTAACATGAGCTTTGATATACAAACAAGGATTTGTTTGTGTTTGACCTTCAGCAGGTCTCTGGTTCTTCGAGCTGCAGAGTCATTGATGGCACGAGCTGTTAGATCATCCTGATACTGCTTACAATTCATCCCTTCATGAATGGCCTAACAGAGGAAAAAAACCAAAGTCCTTTATTTTATATTATAATGAGAACCTACCAGAGAAAGAAAAACCTAGATGTAAATGTCATTGTTTAAGGGTTCAGTGTGTTTTAAGTATTCTACATACTTTACCTTGCAGAGCAGGCAGTTGTGTTTTCTGCACACTGGGCAGTGGAAAGTGTTGACAGTATCTTCATAAACACACCAGCCGGGACAATCTGCTGTAGCACAGTGATAACTGCCCTCACATCGAGACTCTGCAACAGACAGACCCCTCTGCAACCAGCGCTCATAATCGTCTACTGACACCAGCTGAGTGAGAAAGATAGCATTGCCAAAAAATGCAAAGCATAAATTAGTTATTTGTACTCATTCAATTAATCACTCGTTAGATTCCTATCTGATGTTATACAAAACCAGATAAATACATTATTAGGACAACAGCAGCCCTAGAATTTAGTAGGGTTATTATAGTTAACAATAATAAATAAATAAAATGCAAAGCATAAATTAGTTATTTGTACTCATTCAATTAATCGCTCGTTAGATTCCTATCTGATGTTATACAAAACCAGATAAATACATTATTAGGACAACAGCAGCCCTAGAATTTAGTAGGGTTATTATAGTTAACAATAATAAATAAATAAAAAAAATAGAAAAAGACCCCTTAAACTTATCTTTTTCAGCAAGCTGTCAAGGAAACATTTCTAATTTTCATTTAGTTTAACTTGATGTACTAAAATAACTAAAACTGAAATAAAACCGAAAAATTAAAATGATAAGAGACATTTAATACAAATATTAGGGCTGGGTAAAAACTATCGATTTCTCGATTTTAATCGATTCTCATTTTTACGAAGTAATATTGATTCTTAAATCCCAAGAATCGATTAGTCTAGTCTGTTTTCGGTTAATGAATGGAACACTGTAGCATGCCTCCCATCCAATAAATCGCAATAAGCTTTGTTACTTTTGATATTAAATAAAGTCTCATTTCAAATTCTGTCCATTTTATTACAATATTCAAACAGTAAATGCAGTTTTGGCGCTGTTTAATGTGGTGACAGATTGCTACAGCGTTTCAGTTCAAGAGAAGCGGCTGCGGCTGATCGTCTCCTCTGCTTTAATAGCAGTTACACCATGAAATAAACATGAATGAACATCCGAAGGCGTTAAAAGAAAGAGTACAACTTACCGAAATCCATATCCCGTCTCATGTTATCGTTCAATCAGTGTTTCAATGTCAATATAACAGCTTGTAAACATGTCACGTAACGGCACATTTACCTCAGAAAAAAACATATTCGGTGACCATAAACTCAGCTAGAAAAACGAACTCTAGAGGAGCATTTCGCTAAATATATGCACCATATAACATATTCATTATAATCTTTACTATTCTTCAATATTTAATTTATGTTTAATAAATCCATCAAAACTCCATGTTTATATAAAAAAAAACGAATTGGAGAAACATAATTATGTAAAATTAAGTATTATAACTTTATTATTAAAAATTGAGAGTAATTTAAGTGTTTGTAAAAATCTGTTATTTTTATAATAATGTAGTACCAACTGACTATCATGTATATTTTACTGCATTAGTAGAGATTTTTTTTCCTTGAGAAAATTTGCCATGTATTGTCTACTTGATATATTCAAAATAAAAGATATTGAATCGAATTTAGATTGCAAGCTTGTGAACCAAACTCTAATCGAATTGTGAAATTTATGCCAATACCCAGTCCCTATATATATATATAAAAATATAAACTAATTTATAAATAAATATATATAAACTATATATATACTAAACTATATATATACTACTGGTATATATAGATGAGGCTACAAAATGACTCCCTACAGTGAGTTTTGACAGCACAGGTCATTTTAGCCAATAGCACTGTCATTGAAAGCCTTTCAGGCATCATTGCTCCAGGTCTTCTGTCAATTGTGCTCCAGCATCATGGACAGTGTCACAACAGCAGAGTGAGAGAATGACATATTGCTACAGACACTCCTCAGTGTGTGGATCTAGCCAGAATAGACAGTGGTGTAGTTTTGTAGACAAAATAAAAGCAGTATGAATGAATGAGTTCTCACAGCTCTGATTTCTCTTTCCTGCAAGATGCAATCGCAGGCGTAGGCCTCGTCTCTGTATGGACATGCCACCTGAGGATCCTCTGACATCAGAATCACAGAGCGCAGACACTCTCTATCCATAGAAACACAGGGTTTTTTTAACTACTGCATGGCAATACAGAACACTAAATATCACTATGTACTGTATGTGCTACAGCAGCACACTCTCTGTCTTCCTCACTTGCAGAAGCAGTGGAGACACTCTCGAAGCAGGACTCCCTCGCCAGGCTCAAGCTCCACATAGCAGATCCTGCACTCCACTCTCTCTGGGTTAGGAACCAGATCCTGTCCGTCTATCCGCACCAGACGTGCAAAGTTCTCTCTGCGTTCTGCTTCTCTGGCCTACAGACACAGAGAGAGTAGCTGTCAGAACTAAAGCAGCACACATGGATGGGCATCCATAGATAGACTATGTGAGGAAAACACACTGCATGTGCTGTTACTTCTGACTGTATCTTGAAGACTAATGTGACCGGAACAGGGTCTAAAACCTACAAGATCCCAATGGCATTTCTGAGAATTCATTAGTTTAAATTAAGAGTTTGTGTCTAAATGTGCACACAGTATAAATTTGTCTTTGAAAACAGTGATGTGTGAAATGTACAGAAGACACACACATATTAGGGCTGTCAGTCGATTTTTAATCTTATTAATTACATGTGGCGATCAATTAATCTGTGAAGCTGTGAAAATACCTCCAAAAGATCATTTTAAACCATTATAGTGTTAAATGAGAAAAGTATCAAGTAAACATTATGAAAAGTAGCTTTAGAAATAAATATTTAGATTATGATTTTTTTTATTATAAATATTTTATTTGATTACTGTGCGATTTTTAGATCCATCTTTTCAAACTGAGGACAATTGAGGGACTCATACATAACAAATACAAAAGGTGAAAACATTTACTGATGCTCAAAAAGGCGGGGGGGGGGGGGGGGGGATAGTTTACAAAAA